AGCACCCTCGAGGCAGTTACACAGTGCTTACAACTGCCTCAGGAAGTGAAGCATCAGAAAATAAATAAAGTGCAAGCTGACATCCATACGCAAGTCAAGGAAGTAAGCACAAGATGCCGAACACCCTTAGCAGGATGCAGCGCACCCTTCATGCGACTCGCCGAATATCTCACGGCGCTTCGCGCTTGGTGATGTGAGAGCCTGGTCCGGTGAGAACCCGGCGTGCTCCGTCCCGGCTTTGTAGGGATGCGAGGTCAATGGTCTAACGACTACGGCATGCACGACTATGAGTACACCCCCCTCCACGACGTACCCCCCCATCGTACCTCACCGTACCCCGCTCTCCCTTCGACAAACCGCCTCTTCGTTTCACGCTTGCTGCGGCCGACGCCTCCATCACTACCCCGATGCCATCGCTACCACTGCTGCCGCCACTACCAGCCTTAAGCGGGCAAGCAGCAGCCCGGCCACCTCGGCAGGAGTTGAAGGCATCGCCGCCTCAGGGGCCCTCGGAATCGCGGCCCCCCGCCGACAAACCGGCCACAACCCGAGACACTGCTCTCTTCCCCCGCGGGGGGGTCCGAAAAACGCGTCAGCGGAGGGGGGGGACGGCGCCAGCCCGTTCCCGGTCCAAGCAGGCGGCGACTCCGCTTCGTCGGAGGAGGTTTCTCTCCGGGAGTTGCACGTGTTTTGCAGGGCTGTCCGCGTGTCTGTGGTGGACGGGGACAGGGGGGAGGTTGTGCTCGGGTCCCTGGAGGGGATGTCGATGAACGTTGCCGCGACGGAGGCAGAGGTGGAGGTGAAGTTCGAGCTGGGCAGCCTTCAGATCGACAACCATCTGCCAGGGTGAGATGAAAGTGGCAACAAGGCGCATATTACAAGTAGGAGTAAGAGTGGAGGCGGCTCACGCACCCCTCGGCGGCCGGCCAAATCACGATACCGCTCTGTGCGGAAATACAATGACAATGTAGAGTATGCACGTTCGGGTGCTTATATTTTCGGAAAAGAGCGGTATGTCATATCGTACACCATATCAGGTGCCTGTCGGGGGGGTTTGCAGTTTGTTGGAGAATGAACATTCCATCACCCTTAACGGCTACGTTTTTTTTTCCGTTCCGTAGCGGCCCCTGCACAAGGACGACCACATTGTGCCAAGGGATTTGGCTGGCCTTTTGTCTGGCGCCCGGCACTGTTCAGAGTATGGCGTCACCTTGAAGATATCCATCTGTCTCGGGCCATTTCACCGCCCTAGTGCAGGGCGAACGGCCTTTTTTGTGCGGCCTTACCACAACCACCGTAGTTGAAGCAACCGACCCTCTCGTGAGAGGGCCGCCGACATGTCACGGGTTTGCTATTACCGCCGCACTTCGGTACATGTATCCTCACGCTCGCTGTTTGTTTTCGACTAATTACAAACCCGGACGGCGGTTGTTTGCTTCTTCTCCGTGTCTGTATTTCTATGTTGAACAGGACGTCCTTCCCGGTTCTGTTGCAGCCTGTCAGGCCTGGGTACCAGGGGGGGAACAACAAGTGTGTTCGCTTCACGCTGGTGGCTGCCCCGCGCGTGAAGAACGTCGCCTACATCAAGGTGAGTCTTCGGGCTGGTTTGATATGCCGTCTCCCCAGAATCAAACCAAAAAGGTACAATCAAATGTCAAATTATGTGCCCCTTGTTCAGTACTCCTTTTTATGTCTTTCCAAAAAGAACAACAGAAAATGACAAAATGACAAAATGCCTAGGAGGCATCTCTCTTGTGGTGTGCCGGACTGCGGCGGAGAGACACTGCCATGTTCGGCTTATTCTCGTTTTTCATTTTGTCTTCTTCAATAAATATATGTTTTGTTGCTGTTGGCCTTGTCGGTCTTGTCGAGCTCCAGTCGCTTGATTACGGTGTCAATTTGCTGGGTACATTTTGTGTCGTGTTTGCTTGTTGCGACGACGACCAATGAAACGGTTCCAAGAACCATAAAGGCGGTTCTGAAAGTGCAAAGAAGTGTTTTCCGCATGCACGCCCTCCGTAGTCTACATAACCGTGTCGAGCCTGCTTGTTCGGCCCGAGAATTTTCGGCATGTACTTCTGTTGCTTATGCGTTATTTTGTTGTCGGCGACCAACCCTTCATGAGCATGAATCTCCGCTCACCGCTGCCGTGTTTCCGTATGCCTCGTAATTCAGCTGGCGAGCCTGAACGTTGAAGAGTTCGACCTTCGGCTAGACGAGGGCATGGTGAGGTGGGCGCAGGGGCTAGCGGACCGGGTGATGTGGACCCTCGTGGCTGACCGAAGAGCCGACGAGATGGACAAGTGGCCGCTGCCGCGAGAGGCCTTTTGCTCGTCGCAGGTGCGACCAGATTCAGTTTTTTGTTACTGTTGAGCACGGCAGCGAGAAAAAGGTGGACCACTAGAAAACCCTTGTGTTGTCTTTCTTCCTCTCGTGTGACCCCGGCCGATAGGCGCAACATGTACCGACAGTTTGAAGACTGGCGCCAGAACAGACGAGGGCTAAGAGTCACACAATGCACGCACTTTTAATCCGGAGTTTAGGCTTGCCTCTTTCATGACAACCCCCTTCGCGGGGTCCCGGATCACTACCTTTAGAGCATCTTGTGTTTTCAACTGCACTGAGACTGACGCCATTTCATTGGTCAGCCGGTTAGCGTGGTCGATGCTACTACATATTAGTACAAAAACACCCACACGCGTGGTTGCCGCAGAGGGCACCGACGAGAATGGGAGGGGGGCGGGAAGGGGAGTTGATTAGTGCCATTCCTGTCCAAATAGAGTGTCACTGACCTAGAGTATTCCGTAGGTATTAAATGGCGGTGTAGATAGGTTCCCGTGGTCTCTAACGCAGACTGTTCCGTAGATATATGTTGCAGGTTTGAGAGACTTTCCCTGATCGTGCGCTCGGTGCCTCGTATGTTTTTTTCTTGCTCCATTGGGCCGGGACATTCAACAGGACCTTTCGCTCATGTACTCCCCCACGAGTGTTTCGTGGAATTGGCAAATGCCGAATTTCCCGCAGGAATTCGTCACGCGATACAACGGGAGATCATCGCAGCTCCCTCCGATGCCAAACACAGCTTGTTTATCCCGTGTGCCGAGACAGTAGTTCCCTCGTGCGCTTGTTTTTCCCTCTTTTATGCATCGACTCCAACAACAAAACAAAATGAAGGCCGGGCATCCAGGGGGAGGTAAGCCCAGCGGAGAGAATGCCGACGGGGGTTCAGTGGGCGGAGGCCAAGGTACAACGGCGATGGTTGTTTCCCGTGGTGGCAGCGAGGGGGCGTTCGCGAGCCGATACGTGTATCTCGAAGTATTCCAGGTGATACAATACAAGATGCGTTTTGCTCGTGTCTCTTTGTCTTGATTAGTTTCCGTCTCGTCTTTTCCCCCCTTCTGAAAGGTCGATTTTTCCGGGCTCGTCTTCCGTTTTTTTTTTTTTTCCGTATAGTCTATGTATGTCTTTTATTTTTTCCTGTTTGCCTTTGGTTGCTGTGCTGCTTCGGGCGTACATGAAACGTAGGAATATTGTTGTCCATGGAAAAAGCGTTTCGTCGTCGACAGATCACGACTTTTTGAAGTAGGCCATAGGACGATATGGCTTCACTCGGTTTCCCTTCGACAACGATAGTTTCGCCTCAGCTACCCTTCAGCAACCTCCTTGCTGTCTGCTCCCCCCGTGCCTTTCTTGTTGCTGAAGGTGTCGAGCGTGAAGGTTCGGCTGTCTCTCCAACGGGCCAAAGACAGCTTCGACAACGTGTACGTCGGAGTCAAGCCCGGGCAGATGCTCCTCGACCTCATGATGCGCATGGACAGTGCGCATATCAAGGTTTGCGCCACAGCAGCAGCAGTTGGTTTGCCCTTGTGTGGGTTGCCGAGTCCATGCAACCATTGCTATCGTTCAAGCAGCCCGTACTCAGCAACACTTGCGCTCCCACTCTCTCGGTTGCTGCTGCCCGTCCCTACGGTCGTCTTCTCGTGGTACGTTGGGTACTAAACCGCATCAGACTAAGACAACGCTTTTGCGACAAAATATCCTCATCCGTAGACCAGACGCCCTTTTCACCGCGTTACGTCGCGACAACTTTTCCCCCGAAACCGACAGCTCAAGTCTCTGATCGTTCACAACACCACGACCACCCGATCGCGGCTGACCCTCACGGCCCGAGAGCACTACGAGAGGGAGTTGAAGCAGCAGGCGTTCTTGATGCTCGGCAGCTTGGAGGCGTTCGGCAACCCCGTCGGCCTCGTCCGTGGCATGGGTCAGGTAGGTACCATTCGCCATCTGGTTGTCCCCAACGTATTGCGATATGTTGTCGTCGAACTGAGCTTGGCAGTGCCTCCCTCGGGTGTTGACGTGGTTGTGGTACGGTTCGTGTCACTAGAACTAGACTCGGGAGTAATTTACAGGTTTCAATCGTGAGGCACATTCTCTTCAAGCACTAGAAATATTCGCGTTTCAGTCTTGAGTTGTGCGAAACTGTGAAGGTAACAGTTTCACGACGAAGCGGCAGGCCTCAGTGGTGCCCGGGAGCCTGGGGGATTTCGGCGATGCATGCCGTTGCGCTGATGATGCTGGTGCCCAATTGCAACCGACTGTTGCAGGCGTGGATTCCTCTTTCGTCCGCGCAACGAGTAGCCAAGCTGTCGATTCCTGTACCTTGTTCGGTCCGATTCTCTATCCATGTAACTCCCGCGAGGAGTGCACGACTCTGCCACAACCAAGCGGTGTTCGGAGGCTCTCTGCTGCAGGGACTTTGTTTTATCGATATCGTCCACCAAAGAGAGTACTCACTTTTGCCCCCTCTTTCGTTGCCTCAAATTACCCCGCCGTTTCTGTTCCGCGGAAATGTCCGCGGCACGGAAACATCTGTGGTGCGGAAATGTCTGCGTTGTGGAAACATCTGTGGTACGGAACGATCTGCGGAACACAACTGGCCATGCAGGGAATGCAAGACTTCGTCAAGGAACCCGTGCTGGGGCTGCTGAAGAGCGTCGAGGACCTGGCCCCAGAAGAGCTAATGCACGGAATGGCAAGGGGGGCCGGCAGCTTGCTCAACCACTCCGTGGGGGGAGTCGCCAACTCCGTCTCTCTCATCACAGGTGCAGTCTTCCACTCTTTCTCAAGCAGCTCGCAGGCTAAATCAACTCCCCGCGTTCAAGACGAGATTATACTGCATAGGAAAATTAATATGGTGCCGCGTGATTTCAATTATTTGTAAGGCGGAGTGGGCAATTCATCTCGCGCCCTCCCCCCCGCCCCAAACACAAGGGGGGGTAAAACCCTGTCCACAGACAATAGATAAATGTCTGCTGCTGCACCTGCTGGCTGCGGGTATGACAATATTTCCCCAACTGCTGTAGAGGAGGACCTCGCCAGACGCCATCAAGGCAGATGATGTCGAGCGAAGAGGAAAGGGGCGGCGATAGGGCAGAATCGTCCGTATCATCGTCTATCAATCACAGAGGCTGAGGTCCAGTTAGAGGAAATTCGCTACCAACTTTATTTGTGTGCACACGGGAGGGATGGCGAGTACAGCAGTACAGCGAGGCACAGCAATACCTTATTTCGACAACTGTGCATTCGTTCACTCATGTAGTCGCTGTTGGGTATACCCCACCTCATACCAGGAAATAAGAACCGGCCTCGGGCACAACGTGAAGTTATTTAGTGATGCCGCGTACGGCTGGACTTGTGGTAAATATTAGGGGCAGCAGCAATAAAGCCTACGTCATCTCGGAAGATTTGAAACGATCACATCCTCGTCACCACGCACTCTTAACACTCGGGTCCCCCAAAACGTTTCAATAGGCACTGTGTCACAGAACCTGACGACCCTGGCCATGGACAAGGAGTACAAGCTAAAGAGGGCACGCAGAAAGGACGCAAGAGGTACGTACGCGTACATGTGGGGAATGGATACAAGCAGACGACGGAGTTTATCGTAACTCGCCAGAGTAACGGGTTACGAGAGGCAATGGCTGTTGTTCAACCCGTCCGCGACCGTTGTGTGTGGATGTATATATCCCCCACCGAGAGTATTACGTCTACAGTAGAGTTGGCACATTACGTATGTCCCACCATGCATACATCACAGAGGCTGAGGAATACCATGTATTCACCCTATGATTGACAAGGTTGAGAGCACGTGATCCTTCCTTGGACTTGCCACTTCTGTTGTGCGAGCGCTATTGTGTGTGCGTGTGTGCCGCTGTCTCTCCTGTCGGTTCGTGAACCTCGCACAGTGGGGGTGCCCGATTGAGGCGGTCTGAATACGGCGATCGCCCTGAATTTGGCAGGCACAGACGGCATGATAAAGTTTTTTGAACGTCGCATAAGGCGGCTGCGTCATGTAAGGCCGCCTTATTCGGGGACCCCCACTGCATGCATACAACACCCTTTTTTTCTCGAGGCGCTGTCCTGCCGCATTCGCTGGGCAAAAGCTGCCAGGTGGACGTTTTCTTGAGTTGTTGGAGGACTAGACGATCTTCAGCGTGCAGCTGGCACGGGGGCCCAACCCCTCGTCCGTTTTTCGAGGCAAGGTTTTCGTTGGCACGTTCGAGGCAATCCTACGAAATATACTCTTTCTTCCCTTTTCTGGGTAAGACTAGTGATCTTGGGGTGGTGGGGACCACCGGGCGAAATAAGATCAAACCCTCGCTTGACGGAACGGTTCCTACACGGCACACACCGACCCGACCCCTCGGTTTTGCTTGTTTTCCCCACTCCCGCCCTCGCCGAGCACATTCATATGCTACACCATTTCAGGTTTGTTAGTAGCCGTGGCTTCATTTCTTGCCTCCCTCCCCCCCCGGGGGGCACGCGCGCTCCGTACCGCGTTTTTTTCAACCTTTTGGACGATTTCAACTGCTTGCACTGGAAAACAGGGGAGAACAAAGACGTGCTAGACGGGATTGGGTCCGCCGGTGGATCCCTCGCCAGGGGCCTCACGGATGGCGTTTCCGGCTTGATTAAGAACCCCCTGAAGGGCGCTGAGAGCGGGGGCTTCGCGGGCTTTGCCAAGGGGGTCGGGACGGGTATGCTCGGGCTCGTGGTGAAGCCCGTGGTTGGGGTCACGGACGCTGCCACGGACTTGCTGCAAGGTGAAAAGTAGAAGAAAGACGTGTTTTGTCCCAACGTGCTTTGTCCCAACATGCTTTGTCCCAACGTGCTTTGTCCCAACGTGCTTTGGCCCAACGTGCTTTGTCCCGACATGCTTGTCCGAAAGAAAACACCGACACGCCCGAAAGCAGCGACATGTTCTTGAAGCAAGAAACAATCGAAACATACGAAACATTTTAAATTTGTCATGAATGAAGTGGTTTGTACATCAAACCTTGTTTTTTGTTTCATTTTCTGTCATGGTGGTGGTTTTGGGGTTTCTGTGGGCTCCACGCTTTAGATGTTGTCTCAATTAGTCAAGCAGCTCGAGGAAACGTGGCACACCTATATTTTTCCCGCTTCGCGCTGGACGTTGCCAAGAGGGCTTTCTATTTGGACCCCGCAGCACAATACCCAGCACGCAAGCAGGCAAGTGGGTTCTATCATTCTTGTACCCATCATGAAAACCTTCTTACCTTAATTTCTTCAACACCGTTTGCATTGGCTACGCCACGTGCCGCTCGCCCTTCCATGTATGACGAATATTACTCTTTTTGTTTGCCGTTCGTGTTGTTTGCTGCAGGCGTGAGAGGCACCACGGCGAGCATCGCCCAGATCGGAAAACCTTGTCCCTCGGCGTCCCCCTACCACCAAACCGCGGGGCCCCCATCTGCCGGCCAAGGCCAAGGCGGCTCTCTGGGAGCTGCGGGGGACAGCGGCGGCGCGATCGGCGGAGGGGGGGGCGGCGGCTGGGACGAGGGGGTCAGCCAAGTGCGTCCCCGGAGGGTGCTGTACGGCTCGATGAGGACGCTGCGGCCGTACGCGATCGAAGACGCTAGGGCGGCGGCGCTCCTGAGGGTGAGTTTTGTATCCAGGCCTCCTCGATCATCTCGTGCCTCAACAGCCAGCCCTTTCTTTTGAGCCTCAGCCTTGCTTGTGGGTAAAGTACCCTGAGAGAGAGCACGGAAATTTTCACCCCTTTGCTGGCTGGACTTGGCGTGGGAGGAGCTCGGTATTGCTACAACACGGTAGGCGGCGAAACTGGTGTCGGTTTGGTTCGCCTCTCCGGCAACTGTAGGTGGAGACCAGACGCAGGACAATAAAAGCACGAGGAGAACGCGCAAGTACACCTATTTCTCCTCCCGGCCAGAGCCCACGCCGCCGACACGATGTGCCCCCCCCCCAAGCCCCTCTTACGCGTTGAATGTGTTTTTGATATATTTTTCTTGTTGAAGCTGATGGCGAAGAATCTGTCAGCAAAACTGACACCCGAGGCGGTGCGGGCGAACCCCGAGGCGGCGCAATTTGTCACGACCGGAGTGTTCCCTGTGTAAATGTAGAACACGCGCTCCCTTTTAGGACACCTCACCAATTTGTGGGCGCGATTCTAGGTGTCGTTTGGTTTAGCGGTGATTCGGAACAAACGGTTACAGCTATGTTGTGTTTTTTCTTGTGTCAAGTTTCTTCTGCAACGTCATCGACCGCGTTGCTGACGGTGCTTGTTTCGGTATCCTGGGAAGGGAGCATGTCACACGTATCAGCCATTGCTCCTTTCCCTACAGACGTTCCAGCACAAGCTGCACTACTCACGCCCACAAGCGATATGCCCCCCACCCCAATCTGCCCCGCCTAGACGACTCGCTACGAGGAAGAGGAGTATGCGGCGCACCTAGAGATCAGCCAGGCAGCCGGTGCGGGAGCGGCTTCCAAGCCGACGTCCGCGGTTGTGATCCTCACTCAGTCGCTAGTACTCTTGCTTCGCGTGCCCGGCGGAGAGGTGGTGCTGGAGCAGCGGCTTGCCGGCATCCAGGTGTGTCTGGAGTTCGGACGCGAGGCGTTCTAAACCTCACGACATGGAACATTCGTAAGCGTTGTCAGTGGGACATGTTTTCCGGGGCTACTTCTTCAGCTACCTTTGGGTTTATTGAGCTCTGCGTTCCCTGCATCGGTAGAGGTGCCTCTAGCCAGGGTAGCGACCGATAGGTTTCAAACAGGTTGTTTAGGGAAGAAAAAATAATTGATAACTCCCCTCATTGGCCGGCTTTTTCGATTCTGACGGCGGCCACCCGGCCTTCTCTGCTCCCTTTGAAAATCGAGTGCGGTGTGCCCCGCCTGCGTGTCGGGCTCACCATTCCCTTTAGTGTACTTTGTACCGCGACTCACTCTCGTTATGGTTGGGCCTTGCTTTGGCTCCATTCGCGCCTCTCTTGACTGACGCGCGGGTACAGGCTGTGGAGATAAAAGCAGAAGGGGTCATGCTGCACCTTCACCCGCCGTCAACGCCCAAGGCACCGCGACAGGGACCCAGTGGGTGAGTTTCGGAGTCTTGAGTTCTCTCTCACTTTCGCTACGTTCTGCAGCCTTTGCATGTTCCCCTGGGCAAGCCCCGGCGACACGTGTGACACCTGCCGTGTGGATCCCATGGTTCGTGCGTTCGCGTGTTGTGTGTTCTCTTCTACAACAAGGAGTTGGCATCTGAATACTGTCGTCATTGAGGTCCCGTGCGCATGTCGGCATTACATCCACCGCTGCTGCCTTCTGTCACCCGAGTGTCATGCCCCGCTACGTGCTCCTACTCCCCCTCCGCGATGCCTTTTCTTCCAGCCCGTTATCTCAAGCAATTCGTGCTCCACTGTATCTTTTCCCCGAGAGTCCTGACCCCGGCGCTGGCACCCTGGCACTGACCCCTGTATTACGTTTCTCCCGGCTGCCCCTTTGCACTGTAGGGAAGGTGACCGTGCTCGCCAGCTCAACCCCGACTCCCTTGTCTCCCGAAGTTCAAACTCTTTCCGGCCTTTGTTTATCCCCCGTTGACGCCGGCCGCCCTTTCTCGTGCTTCTTTTTCGACCGCACGCTTCTTCCAGATATCTTGGTCTTCCCCCGCCACCTTCGGAGGAAGACGACGGGCCGGGCGGCGAGAGAAACCGCGGCCGTGTGCAGGCACACGGAATTCCGTGCCGGGAAGAGGCGTTGAAGCGGCGGCTCTACGATATGTTGGATACCGCGGTAAAGAATGCAGCAAGAGCGCTGTAGCGGCGACTACGACGGAACACTGCTGGCTGGAGTGGTACTAGGTTGTAGCTGGATGCTTGCTTTCCCTGGAGTGCTCTTGAAGCTTTTTTGCGCGGTACGGTGTGCAAGCTGGATGCTGAGTGTTCCGGGAAGTAGCCATTTTTGGGGAGAGAGAAGTTTAATCGATCGAGGCCTTGCGGATCCATAGTCATGTAGACGATATATTATCGAAGCTTGCTATGGTGCTTGTCGACGCTGCAGCCAAGCGGCGATTTTCTTGCGAGGTGTGTTTTTGTGTTCATTGTCTTTTGGCATGTTTTGTTTTCATTGTGCAGAGCCTTTCGTGAGTCGGCGACCCAAGATACGCTTTCAACATACCTAGAGAACGAGGAGACGTTACGGGCTTCTATACGAGATTGAGGCTTTTCGCCGCCAAAGTGTTTCTCGTCACAAAAGCTATGAATCAATTGTAGAGTCTGCACCAAATGGGTTGTATTTTTTCTCACGCTCGCCTGCGGTCGTTGCACCAATCGGTGGTAGTCCCTTTTCGAGAAACTGGGAGCAATGTAGCGTCCAGCTCGAAGCAGTATGCTGGCTACACCAAACATGTTATGTTGAGATGCGTGAGATATTTTAACCCAAGGGGGGTATCGAGTGATAGTTGGGCTAGCCCAGGATTTTTAAGGCCGAGTATGGGGGACTGCGAAGTGTTGGCCGTTGAACGACTGACTCAGTTGAAGATGATCGTCGTGGGTATCAAAATCTGCCGCTCTGCTGGGTGTCTCGTGTAAGGAAGGTCGTGATGAGTCGGTGCTTGTTTTCGCGTGTGTTGGGTAGACGTCCTGGTATTTGTTCTCTTTCGAAAACAATAGTGGTGATTGGAAGTGCACATTGTATGTTGACAGAAAACGCCCCATGAGTCGTTGAAAACCTAGCAACGTAATTCCGAATCTCTTCGTAGCGTTTTTCAACCTGAAAATCGTATCGTTGGATTAGAAGATCGGCGTTGCATCAGCATAGGTTACGGGCCGAGGAGACCGTTCCGTCCTCCGATAATAGATTCTTGACCAAAGCTACCACCCGCAGTTTTGTACCCATGGCCCATGAAGAATAGTTTGGGTCATTTCGTCCCTCCTCCCTGGTGTGTCTTCTTCTCATGGTAGAGATGTTGTTCCGAAGTTGGAACCCACCGCTAAGAAACCTGTCTCCACGCCCGACTGTCAACGGTGGTGTTTTTCTCCAGCTTCCATGACACGAGGTACTTAACTCGCAGTTTCGGTTCTGGAGTGTTTTCTTTCCGAAGCATAGACCGCAGCATTCGGCTGACCAACGCAAATACGTCAATAAAACAAAAGTAGAGCGAGATGAACAAGCGAACACACTGTTTACGCAGTAAGTAGGCTCCCCCGGGACGACGAAAAGGCCACAGCCTACCACAAGATGCCAAACATTCGCCACGGCAGAGCGCGGGTACTAACCTTGCTCTCAAAACACCGACAGACCGCAAACAACGCAAAAAGCGAAAGACCTAACAGTCCGTAAGGGAAGAAAAACGGAAAGATGTCGTGACACCAAACGAAGGCCGACAGAACCTGCGGCAAAAACACAAAAAAGGCTAAAAGCAACCAAGCATGTCATCTTAATGAGAGCGCGCGAAGTCATCAGGCAACGAATCGTTCGCAACGCCGCCACGCGACATGTCGATGTTGCGAAGAATACCCTTAAGAAGGGCGCTGCTGCTGTGAACTTGGAGGCACCAGGATCTGGAGACGGCGGTTGCGGCGGTGGAGTAGCGGACGACAGAAAGGGCGAGCTTGACAGTTCCAGGATCGTCCAAGAAGCGGACGACGTAGCAGTCGAACGGAAGGGGCGGTCCAGAAATCTTGCCCAGCCACCATAGCCCATCCTGTGTCTTGCACCAGAAGAAAGCACCCACGGGCAAAGGAGTAGCGGCGAAACGACGATCCCACGTAGAACGGGAGACGAGCGAGTAGCCCGAAGGCAAAGCTCGTTCGCCTTTAGCACGCGCCAATTCACGAGTAGCCGCACCAATCCGCATCGACCGATAACGGCGATTCGTTTGGCAGTGTTGGTCCGGCGAACCGGTCCAGTACCGGAGAATGTGCAACTTGAAATAATGTTGCAGATCCAGCTCACGCTCCCAAGAGGGACGTACAAGGCCGTTCCAATGGGTCTGATATAAAACTGCCGTTGTGCCACCACGACTGCGAACGGACTGGTGACCGCTGATGCGTTCAACCTCGAGACGTTCGACCGGAGTCGCTACGTTGTTTTCCGTAACATGGTAGGGAGGAGATTTATTCGCATAATATTTCAACACATACGGGGTGAGACCCGCAGGAAGAAAACGTGGCAAGTCGTCGGTATCATGAGGATTTGCACAAGGCTTACAACACACTACAGACACACGACGTTTCGAGTCTTGGCCCTGCTGATCCGACGGGAGGTCCCAGTAGAGCAACTTAGACGCCAAAGGATGGCCATCAGGGGCTTCGGAACACGAGCCCACCGCCAGAATTTTGAACCGGCCAGTCCACAGCAGAGACAATTTGGCTTTGAGTCATCTGTACCTGAACAAACACCTTGGCGAATGGTAGATTCGGAGTTGTAAATCCAAACCCATCCACCGATAGTGTAAGCGGGAAGCTTGCGTAAAGCATCCGAGAGGGCGGAGTTCCGCCGCTCGATCCGTGAGACGGACAGAAGGTGCTGTTCACGCACTACGTCGTATGACCGACGTTGGCGGTCAGCAGCGAGATCGCAATACTCAAGTTGATCACGATGCACACTTTGGTGACCACGAGCGAGCGTAGGGATGCTCGAGGACAGTCATCGGTAAACGCGGCAAGCGGTTCACGTGCACCTCGTTTGGCGCTAAACCAGTAGCAGCACTGACCGAATTGTTGTATGCAAACTCGACGTGTGGAAAATGAATGTCCCAATCGTCTTGCCTTTCAGTGACGACCATAGGCAACATTTGAGCCATAGTATGATTGACTCGCTCCACACCCCTGTTGCCGTTGGGATGGTAAGAGCTAGCAGCCACTTTGCGGATAGCAAGACGGGCGTACACGGCTTGTGACAGTTTAGATCAAAGCTGAGAGCCGATGTCAGACAAACGACTCAACGGGGAATCCCACAATGGGATGTACCGGTTGACAAGGACGTCAGCGGTGCCTTCAGCGGCGAATTCGGCAGCGGTGACCGCGTACATAACATGTCCTGCCGACGACGCCAAGTGTAAAGGTAAAGCACGCCCTGTGCTAGCTGGAAGACCCGATGTAAATAACTCACTTGTTTTTGACTCTTGCAGAGCAGCAGCAGTAGCTGATGACTCGCGGTTGGATGGGAACTGAGACAAAGGGGCTCCGAACGAGCTGCATCAAGAGGGGACAGCAGAATCTGTCCCCTTGTTTGTCCTACGGCGGGGAGTTACAACTTCCCGGCACAGGGAGTCATGTTTCCCCGAAAATGGTTTTCAGGAACCATTCTCTGTTCTGTTCCGTCTCCACTTCTAATCCTCTAACACTGGGCATCGTTGCTATTGAGTACTGTACAGGAAACCACCGTAGCGCGCATAGCCCCCCTGGCTTGTAGATCGCGTGCTGCTGCGTCATTCGCTCGAGAACCCTACTAAGGAGAATCCTCCTAAGAGTTATCCGGCACACTTCTCTCAGACACGACGGTGGAGGGGACAGACTCCGTCGGGGAAAACACCCCCGTCCTCGAATGTGCACTTAACTGTGACGTCCATCGCTTGATCGTTCCCGTGATGCTGGTGCTTGTAAACTTTGATGGTCTTCGATCGTTGGTGATATCCTCCGGCCTCTAGATCCCTTGTGGTAGATATCTTGAAGGGTTTAGCGTAAGCTTGTGGAATCTCGTTGAACGCATCGCGGTTGTCTATCGTGCCCGATGTATGTGATTCGCTTGACGTGGATGCGTCTATCGTCGTCACGAAGAGGGAAGAAACAACGTCTGTGAGAAGGCGTATGTTGTTTGGCGTTGTTCGCCGAGTTTTGGCTTGTCACTGCGTTAATCAAAATGCATTCCACGAGGCTATTGTGTACACCGGCATGCGGGCCATTGTTCGTTGGCATCTATACAACGTTGAAAAGTCCGTGCACTGTTCGACTTGCTTTTGGACATAATACCCGTTCTTGACCTTGAGGTGTACCAAGTAGGAAATAAGAAATAGTCTATTAATAATAGTGGATCGAGCTCAGAAAGACCACTCATGCGAAGAGACAGGTGGCAGCAGCAGAAGCAGCAGGGAGATATAACAACACCAAAGATGAGAAACCCACGGACGTGTCGACGGACGTCCACGGACATGTACATGTCATGAAGTCAACCGTTGCAAACGTCCACGGACGTCGCTGGACACAGTTCACAATTGATTAGTGACTGAAGCAGCCAGCGGGACGGAAAGCAAAGAACCTCACACTGACTTTCGGTAAAGTGGCATACCCGAAATCAAGGGAAAGGCCATGCAGCATGTATGTACAGACGGCGGGGTCATCGTTACCTGCGGCTAGCGCTTCTTGCCAAGTCTTGGAGGCGTCGAGAAATCGCTGACTTGCCAAGAAGGACTGAAGGATATTGTCGTCAAGAATCTTCAGGACTTGTGCCTTCGGAGGGTTGAAGACGTCTCTTCACCTTTCCGTCGCAGCCTTCACAAAGGCTTCCCCGTCCCCAATCTTTCAGAAACAAAATTTTTGACGTGTCGAGGAAAGGGAGCTGGGGCGTTCAAAGCCGTGCCAATATTCTATCTATCCCACATGATAATTGCTACTACTACTCCCCGTCTACTTAGGAGCGCACGGGGGGTACGGGTAGGGATCGGTCAGTATCCCAACGAGCCGTTGAGCATCATGACTATTTCGCCGAGGGTCTGCCGACGTATCGTCGCCGTTTCGTATCCTGCGCTCAAAACCAAAGCCTTTTCTTGTGCTTGACAGATTCTTCCTCCTGTTGTTGGGTGTGCAACCATATGATGATACCACGCCTTCCCAATATTTTCCGTCATGGCTCCAAGTAGGCAGATGTCGTTACCACGTGCACCTGGTCAACGTTTCACAGTAGTTTATCCCCTACATTGAGGCGTCCATTCTCAAAGAATCTCCTTCGCGATGTTGTTGCACGTAGCTTTTACTTTCCCACACAAACCGCGGCAACATTTGCTGGGGCCAAGGACTGAACGTGTGACCGCATATTACACACCTCGAGCACTTTTTTTCGCATCGCGGTTCCGATGTTGATTTCCAGCTCCGACCCCGCCAGAATGTACACATCCACGATTCTTCGGAAGTGAACGAAACGTTGTTCAACGGAATCATTGTCTGCGTCGGTGACGTATTGTGCCACCTGTGACAAAAATGGCGGTTGGCAGGTTGGTCTAAATTATTATGGGAAACCGTATCAACTAGTCCACAATATTTGGGGAGCAGCACTTAATTGTTTTTCGTTCGAACTGCCTTGATTGATATATTCTGTGGCCTGCAGAGGTAGACTTCCCCCGTACCACGCGTTCCACACGGCGCAAAGCCTCCGTGGTAACCAAACGTGTCTCTGCTACTATAACACAAAATCCCCCTCGGGGTACTGCCAGACGGGACGAAACTGTTGTACAGCAGCAGTCTCGGACAACTGAGTCTCCAATGGTACGCACTGCCATAAAAAAAAACATGCAATGCTATTTATATATATTTTTTGCCTTCCGACGATTGCAGATGTACCTCAGAAAACTTTCACTTAATGTCTCATACTCTACATAAATACTAAACCAACACGAAGTACAAGAACATATGTATGCTATGCTATACTTTTACGTGGCAAAGCTACGACATGTTTGCTAGCTATGGATCGAAGTTCGATGTACGTATTATTCAGCTGCTGCCCTCCGAAGCAGGCTGCTTGTTACANATGTACCTCAGAAAACTTTCACTTAATGTCTCATACTCTACATAAATACTAAACCAACACGAAGTACAAGAACATATGTATGCTATGCTATACTTTTACGTGGCAAAGCTACGACATGTTTGCTAGCTATGGATCGAAGTTCGATGTACGTA